GGCCCCCCCCCCCCCCCCGCTCCTGGGGCGGTGGCCAGACAGTGGAGCCTTTTCACATGGTGCACTCCTGCCTCCCCACAGCGCGCCAGGCGAGGGGCCGCCGCACAGCCCAGGGGAGTGCACAACAGGCCGGGTGGCTCCGTTGCAAAGCCCCCTGCCCCCCGTCCTGGCTAGAGGGCCGGGCGGAGGACTGGAGCTGCCCAGGAGCCTGGGGTCCTGGTTCTGATTCCAGCTTCAGAGCTATGGGGGAGCCCTGGGCTGTACTCGACGAGAAGTCAGACAGTTACACTGGCAACGGCTCTCAGGGGAACAGGCCGGGGGCTGCCCAGGAGAACCTGGGAGGTGGGGAGGGGAACAGCCTCAGGCTTTGCAGGAGCAGCATTAGGGGTCCCTGCAGCCCGTGCTCGCTCAGGGGCGGGAGCGTCTCTTATCAGCAGGCCAGAGGCAAACGGAGCCCTGTTATCTGCCAGCGCCCTGTTATCTGCCAGCGGTGGGCGGAAGGCCCGTCCGCATTGGGTCTGTGCCTAGCTGATAACTCGCCGGAGGAAGGATGTGGAGCCCGCACCGGTGTTGTGGGAGGCCTCGCTGCATCTGAGACAGTCTGTGCCTACCCAGTGACACGGCTCCCTGCTGCAGGACAGACCCCGGAGTCCCCTGTTAAACCCCAGGCACCAGGGCAGGGGCTGGGGATCCCGGGGCCAGGAGAGATGGGGCTGAACCGTCATTGATCTAAAGGGGGCTGAGGCCACGGACCCCAGGTCGGGGGGGGGAGCTAGCTCCCAGCACGTGCTGTCCACTGTCACGCTGGGCTTCCTGCACCCCAGGAGCACGGGAGCGCCCCCCCCTGGGCTAAAAAAGAGTCTCCGGCTCTCCCTGTAGCGTAATCCCAGCTGCAGGGTCAGTCTGGCTCCCTCCAGCAGGGGGCAGTATTGCACGTCCGTGCAAATTCACCCCACGGGGGCGTTCACGCTCACCTGCTCTGCACTGCGGACGTGCCTGGTGCTGGCTGTGCAGTGAGGGGGATCAGGAGCCAGATCTCCCCGCACCAGCCTACAGTGTTTTCCCCTCCCTCCCTCGCACGTGTGGGCACCCGGGCTGGGAGCGCCCCGTGACTCGCTCGTCCCGCCCCCCAGGTACGCCTTCACCGTGGCGGCCAACATCACCGTGTACGGCGTGGCCTGGCTGCTCCTGCACTTCCAGGTCCGGCACTCGGAGCCCACCGACCACCTGGGCAAGCACGACATCCCCGTCTTCCGGGTGAGCACAGCGGGGCCAGGCCGGGCAGCACAGCTGGGATGGGGGCTGGGGTGGAGAGCCAGGGGTCCTGCTTCTCTGCTGCACGGCCGGGGAGCGGTGGGGGGCCCACCCTGTGCATTGCCCG